AGACCATTATGGCAACTGTTTAAAGACAACTGCAATGACACACGTGTTCACACGCACAGATGCTGACATTTGGAAGTGTGGCCCTCTTTGGTGACTCTCACTGGAGGGTGGCAGCAGTTGAGGTTACATTCACAAAGCTACATTTTGAGTTTATTTTCCCAAACAATTTGGTATAAATGGAGATTTTGATAAGAACCAATATTGTTTTTATAGTCAACATTCCAGGGGTAGATGGTATAGCCTTCTTCAAGGTAATGCTTAATATATAAGTTCGTATATTGTTGAAAATCTCAGAGTTACACTCGTATGTGTAAGAGTGTAGCCAATCTACTATATTTGTACATTTGCCACGTAAAAATAAATTTATTAGCTTCAGATAGTACCTGCTGAAATATTTACCTGAGTATAATATGAAGTTTAAAGCTTAGATGGTATGTCTAACTGTTCCCTCAACACTTCAATTTAGGGGTGTGTGTGTGTGTGTGTGTATGCGTGTGCACACGCATGCACGTGCATGTGTGTGTGTGGCTGATCCCTCAGTCTCCATTTTACACCTCTGTCCTGTTCCCACATTTGTTCCTTCTCTAGTCTCCCTCACTTTCGAAAATGGCACTAACCACTCCCTCAGTTTCTTTAGCCAAAAACCTGTGTAAGAAGGGTTCCCTTCCTTCTTCACCCCTTCCCTGCTTTATTTTTCTTCCTAGCACTGACAAATACCTGACAAATACAATATAATTATTTGTTTACTTTCTGTTCTCTTAACTAGAGCACAGGTTCCAGTGAGGATGGCATCTTATCTTGTTCATGCCACATCTACACTCAGTACACATAAGTGAGTAAAAATAGGTGAGGCAAAAATTAGGATCCTCTACTTATTGAACCTAAAATGTTATTAGCACTTTATCTGTTTAGAAAAATAGGTAGCAGTTATCAACACCACCATCTCCAACAACAAACCTTTTTTTAACAAAAATATGAATCAAACAATATTTGTTTAGCATGCATTTGAAGGCTTAAGATTAATATGCCAAAAGTACAAAAGATCCATTTTAAAAGGCAAGGCACCAACAATATTCTTCTTAAAATAGAAAATGACATTCATCTGCATTATATAACTTCTTACTTGAAAATAATCATTCCATTATTATTGGCAATAATTCCTCTGTTTATGTGTCAATATCTTGTGTCAAGTAAAATAACTTTTTTTTAACTGTTTCAGATTTCATTTAGTTTAATTTAAAAAAAAAACAATTATTTCAAGACAAATATAATTTAGTAAAAATTTATACTACAAAGGTAAAAACAATCCACATAGGATTTTTTTCATTCTACCCCTAGAAAATAGTAGGCACCCATGTTTCAAGCTTTTATTTAAAATTTTACACTTATAGCTAAATGTCAATGATGTTAATTAAATAGAAACCAGTTAGAAAAACTGAAAAAAAACAAAACCCTAAATCAATGTATACTAGTACAGTTTCAGCTTGCTTATACAACAGATATTTTAAAAAAAAATTCTGTATTCTTCTAGGTCTAAACATAAGTCAAATAAAAGTAACATAATTGCGAACAGTTTTACAAGAAAGTAAAACTATCCCAGAGTAGCTTCTTATATCAAGTAAATGGGAATCACAGTAACGTCAACCAATTTATCACTTTTTAGTAAATATTTATAACAACACAATATATATTTAAAGGTAAATGCTAGCTGTGACTTTACTGAATTCCACACTGAGGGTTTCAAGATTTGTGAGAAATGCAAAAGTCTATGTTTGTGATTTTGCTTTGGACTTATTTTGAAACATGCAGTAGGAGTCTAACATAGGATTAGGTACTTGAACACCAACATCCCTATTTCATGCCTATTTGCTGACACCTCTGTTCTATGCCCATCCAGTACTAAGGGTCTATGCTTCACTGTACTCTGGCTATACATTCTTATGAGGCCCAAACAGATCAAACATAAACAAAAAAACAAAACTAGAGCAGTTAACAAACACACACTGGCTTCAGCAATGTGACACAACCAGCTACAAATGAACATTTATGCTGCCATATATTTCATAAATCAACATTATAGATAAGTACCCTTTAAAAAACATATTGCATAGAATCTAAAAAGTTGAAGCTCAAAAGGAATTTGGAGATCATTTAAGATAAACAGTCCTTCATTTATCAGATAGAGAAGGCGAGGCCCTGAGAAGTTACCTTGTTCAAAGAAGGACAAATATTTAATATGTTGGAGTCAGGTCTAGGACCAGGTCTGATTTAATTTTAATGTTCACTTCAGAATTCCAAGCTGGTTTCATAATAAGACAGTCCATAACTGACTAAGGAAAATGCTTATTAAAATATTAAGTAACAAAGAAGGGCATGAAAATTATTTGTATAATATAATCTAAGTCACGTAAAAAAAGTCTAAAAATGTCAAATGTTGAAACTCTGGACATGGATAATTGGAGTACACAGATGCTTGTATTTACATATTCATTAAATATTTTTCATTTCTAGTTTACATGTTTTATACAATGAACAAAGGCCACCTATATAGTCAAATAAAAAACTGAAGAGATAAATGTGCAATGAAAAGTCAACCCTTGCATTAACTATTGTTAATTTGTAGCATGCAAAACAAAACTAATTTGCTGTTAAACCTGCATTGTTAAAATATTTCTCTGTTTAAGTAGAGCAATTGTTTCTGAGGGAAGAATGAAGAGTAAATGGGGAGAAAATATATTTATATGCACTTGTAACTTAAGTACTAGAAAAAATGTCAATAAAGTACATTACACTATGAATTTATTCTTTCTCTATAGGAGAAACAGATAACTAAAAAATATATATAAAGCAAACTGTAACCTCTGCTTATCTCACTTGTCAATATGAATTTAATGAACAGAATGTGAAAATTTGATTGGCAAGGTTTTAATATTTACTTTGTTTTCTGATGTTCCCTGAATTATGAGTGTTAATTGAACTTAGAAGTTTTATTACAAATGCATATATCCAGAATTCACTTGAGGCTAGGATATCATATATTCTTACTGATTTAGACCTACTATACAGATATTTGTGTATTTGCTTCCAACTTTTATGTCAGCTACATTATTTGGCAGTTCCCAGAAAAGTTACCACTGGAGAATACTCCAATGAGTTTAGTTTCTCACTGTTCCCTGAATGATAGCAAATTTTACACTTTGGCTTTTTCTCATCTGCTCCCATTTTGAACTGTGCCCATTCTCCATCACTCAGGAAATTTCCATCTTCTTTATGAAACATCGTAGACTTACAAAGGTCTGTAACAGTCTTTCTTCCAAACAAAAGTAAAAACTAACAAGTTAGAATTGTACAATTTAACATAATGTTCTCCAGAGATTTCCTGTGTGTTAATTTTATTCTCTAAAGTAAAGTGCAAATTTCTTGGGGGTTGGGTTTATTTTGCATCCATATGTATAGGGGAGCTCAGTGACCAGCAGAGAAAAGAGAGAAGATGTTCTAAGACTCTCCATTGGAAGTGAGAATCTTACTGGATAATCAACCAAGTAACCAGGTATTTGTGATATATTCACCACACAGCAAAAACAGTAAAGTGTTATGGAAGACTCAGAAAAGACAAGAAAATTTTTTTGCTCTCAAAACCTTATAATCTTTTTTTTAATGTGAAGAAGCACTTTAAAACTAGAAAAGAGTGGGGAAGAGTACATAATTAAAGGTAGACAAACTCTAGGAAGAAGAATGAGAATTAGTCTTATTAGTTACTATCATTATGAATGAAGAAGTCAGAGAAGTTTTCATAAAGAAACAGAGCTTGAGACATGGACCTTTAGAATAAAGATTCTGAAAAGGTGGTGCTTATGAGGAAACAGATTAAAAATTCACAAAGCCAAAAAAAAATCAAGACCAGATTAGAGGGCAAACATTAGGAATTAGTGAACAATATTTCAGTTGGGTAAAATTCTGTGGATCTTATTACTAGCAGAAGAGCATAGAATTAATTTAAAAGGAAAGAAAAACAACACTGGGTTTTGAGTAGGAAAGTGATTTGGGGAAAGCAGAATTTAAATTAATTTAGCTGTGTAAACAAAATATATTGGAGAAAAGGCAGGTATCCCGATTTAATATAAAGAGTAGGAAAACCGGAATCAGGAGACTTGGTTTTATCCTGGTTTGACTTGGGTACATATATTAACTAACCGTCCAATGTGCTTCTTATCTCTCCATTTTTCAAATGAGATACCCCAGGTTAACTTATTTTTCAGTTAACTCATTTTAAAATCCATTGATATTAATTCTAAAAGCATAACATATTATCCACCAGGTACAAGTTTCTTGCAGATATCCAGCCATGAGGCAATGGGGAAGATTAGCTGATTATAAAAAACTTCAAAATAACAATCAAATAGGACTTAAGAGGCAGAATGGATCCAGAAATTGGGAAAATTGGAAGAGTCAAAGATGATTTTCTGAGATCACACTGTATAGCTAGGATAAATGTGAAACCACAGGAAGAGAGGTAAATTGATGGGAAAGCTCATTGTGCTACTCTGTCCTCCTCTTTTTTTTTTTTTAATTTTTATTTTTAAGAGAGAGGGAGCCAGAGCATGAGCAGGGGAGGAGCAGAGAGAGAGGGAGACACAGAGTTGTCAGCACAGAGCCCAACACAGGGCTCGAACTCACAAACCATGAGATCATGGCCTGAGCTGAAGTTGGATGCTTAACCGACTGAGCCACTCAGGCGCCCCACTCTGTCCTCTTCTTGGATACAGATGTTGTGCCATATGCAATCTCAGAGTTTAGGTAAGTTATCACATTTGCTGTGGTTATCAGCAAAGTATCAGGAAGGATCTTGATTTCTGGTACTTTAGTTTATAAATCTGGCTGAAACACTTTCATTGATGTGTTTCTATTCACCTTGTACTTTCTGTACTGAGTACCTCATATCCACTATTTACCATATCAGGATGCATAGACAGATCCTCTCCAAATTCAGTAAAACTCACTTGATGCTAGGAAGAAGGGCAGCAGCTGGAGGAGGAGGGGAAAGCCGGGGAGGAACATCATATTCTTCACTTCCCAGGTGACCATTGGAAAAGACCTGAAAGGAAATTGAAGGGTTCGTTTAGAATTTAACTTCTGGAGGACCTTAAAACAGTAGCAGCTCTTAGAAAAACTGTAATTTTAAAAAAGAATATGTGATTTTAGTTTATTTAAACAAGTGGAATATGATATAATTTACTTGGGAGTCAGGAGCACCATAGTGATTATTCACCACCACTACCCAAAGGAATACCAAATTATATGTAAAAAGTATAATACAACATGATTCTGAAACACATTGAGAAGGAATGCATACTAATTTCTATAAAACAGGTACAGACAGCTAGATACATAGATAGTGAAATTCCCCAAATAACAATCAGTTTTTATTGAAAAGTTACCATTCTCCGTAGGATTCAGGGAAGAAAAAGCAGTACCCGTGCAATTCTTATTTCAATTCTCCCAAATAAAAGTGTTCTAAATTAGATCTTTCTGGGGTTAGCAGAACATTTTTAAACTTCTTGATAAAACCATGCATGAGTACAATCAGAAATGTCTTTCATTTTTTGAGGATGAAGTGTTAACACTATTGGCGACTAGAGCCCACCCGCTCTGCCTTTCAAAGCGCGTGCAATTTTAAATGGACTTTTCAGTGTGAACAACACCAACTAAAACGGTTACCTTGCTCATAAGGTACCGGCAGAAAACTGGTGTTTCATTACTCAGAATCAGAAATTCTGATTTCCAGGATTCTCAGTGACACTACGGGGACTGAGCATCTGCTTGTGACTGATCCGAGAACTTGAAATTAAAGGAATTAAAAAAAGGGAGAGTCTATAACTTTATATAGACATATTCACACACATACAAAAAAGATAAAACCTATCTTAAAATCTTTAGGTAATTATTAGAGTTTTATCTTGGGGTTCTTACCTAAACTCTTACTAAATTCATATTTAAAAGGCAGGCTCATGTTGGGGCAAAAGGCTGAAATGTAACATGAATAGCCCAGAAGCCCCATCAATGACCTACCAATTTCTTTTCCTCTCCTTATATTCCTAGAATGGTACTGAAGGCTCAGAAGGCAAAATTGAAAAGCCCATATCCTTCTCTATCAGCTTAGAATAAGAAACATGGTTTAAAGAATACATTTGAAATATATCAATATTTGCATTTCAAAGTTACACCATCTAAATCTTACGGCGCTGAAGTTTCACTCTCTAGACCTGTGCTAGAGTTCCAATCTCTCCTTTGCACGGCTCCCTCATTCGATGCACTAGTATAGTTACACTGACAAAACAGATCCCAACCACGGTTTCATTCTGAATTCCATGTTCCCACCTGCACCCACTTCACTAGACTCAATCATTTTAGCTGCCACTACCTGAGGGAATGCAATAAATTACAAGTTGAGCTAAAAAGAAATATTTTATGTTCTCTGGAGATCTGAAAAGTCTCTTCATAAATAGGAGAAAACAATAATTCCTCAAATGTTTGGATTGATAGCATTGGCTGAAGAAGTTTGCATGGAAACCCCACAGATTCAGGCCTTCTTTATTCAACTAAGGAAACAATCTATTCCCTCTGCCTTCCCAGGTGACTGTCCCAAATCTACCACAGTTCCGTTGAAATTGTTACCAACTTAAATATTCTGATGCTATTACTCTTCTTCCAGGAAAAGTAAAAAACGAACAAACAAAAGCAACAAAAAAACCTTTAAAACCTCTTTCCTAACAAATTAAAGATAACATAGTATAGAATTCAGGACTCCTTATTATTGGTTTCAATCTACACTGCCATAATTTCACCTACCCTGCCTACTCTCTATTCTATCCATCGAAAATTGACTTCCTTCACCATGCATATTTTCCCTACCTTCATGCTGTTCCTTCCCATCATGTCTACAAAAACACCTACTAATCTTTTCATGCCGATAGCCAGTGACCTTCTTGCATGCAGCTTTCTTTATTCCTTCATTTACACTGCATCTCAATTAATTTTTTTTTCTTCTTGAGGATCCTGTATTGTATTTTCTCAATGCTTCTCTTATGCCTTATCTTTTAGTTTATCATACACCTGACTCATTCTCACTACACTGTGTTTTATTCATTTTGTATTTCTCACGATGTCTTGAACATCCTAAGTACTCTTACAGCTGAAGGAGGTTGAAGAATGAGGAGATACTAAGTTAAATTTGGACTTATGGAAGAAGTTTAATCTAAGTTATCACATAACTGACTATAAATTCAAGGTTATCCTAGATTAATATTTTTCTACATGCCTCAAGATAGCATTTGAAGCTAATCTTAGAAGTTTGAAATGTCTTATGGTTCAAATGTTGTCTAAATATTAAGCTTAAGGTGTTTGGGATCCTTGAGATTCAGGGAAAACACTTTTGTGATGATCTTAGCACAATTAAGACAAACCTTTTTAATTGTACAAAACTCTAAACACCACTCTTTTCCCTATCCCACATATGTAAACCCACACAAACACTACCCCGCAAATATCGCTACAATTTGTCCTTCTACAACATCAGATTGGAAATGAAGCCAGTGTACACAGAGGACTTATTTCTTGATAGACAGCCCTTGAGATTTAGAGATAAGTTTGAGGTCACTCATATAAACATGTGCTTCTCCACCAAAAGGGCAAAAGCCACAATCTCAAAAAGGGGAATCTTTTGGTGCATTTATCTAGCAGCATCTTCAAAAGATTATTGTACACAGGGTCATTTTAGAATAATGTCACTTGAAGTAACATAGTAAGTCAGAGATAGTTTTTATCACGTTAGAAACAGCAGTACTCTTAACCTTTCAAGAGGAACCAATATAGATAGCTTAACACAATGTTAGTATCTAGATGTAAGTAGATAAATCTCAAGTTTCCAGTGATGTTCTAAAGCATTTTAATGCAAATATTTTCACCTCACTTAATTAAAACAAACCAACTGCCACCAACAGTAAGTACCTAGCCAACAAAATACTTAGGGGCAGAGAGAGAGGGAGACACAGAATCTGAAACAGGCTCTAGGCTCTGAGCTGTCAGCACAGTGTGCGACACGCAGCTCGAATCCACAAACCATGAGATCATGACCTGAGCCGAAGTCATGATCAACCGACTGAACCACCCAGGTGCCCCAACAAAATACTTATTAAAGGGACAGGTTTCTAACTGAGAGACAGGGTTCTAATTGAGGGGCAGGTTTCTAATTAAGGGACAGGGTTCTAGAACCTGAGAATTTCAGAGAAAGGAAACAGTTCTATAGGAAAGAAATCTCTTACCAATAAAATGAGATAAATCTTGTAACTCTTAGCTTGCAGATTCATGTTGAAAGTAAAGGATCACTTTAGCTAATCTGATTATGCTAGGGTTGGGGGAAAGGGAGTAGATGAAAGTCACAGAGAATTCTTACAGTTCATTTTAAAAATGAACTGGACGGCTCTTTCCCTCACAGCTCTCTATAAGTAGCAAATGCAGTAGCAGAATTTAAAGTCTTCTTGCTGCCCTTACCATTTACCTAGTGAAGATGCAAATAAAAAAGGCAAATGCCTTTGAGGGATGATGGGAACTGGCACCGTGACAGAGAACAAATGATGAAGGAAAGCGAGGTGTCACTTCATTTACAGGGTGTTCATTTTATGAATTGCCTTATGGTAGGTATTCCACAGGTACATTTAATTCTACTGTAAACATTTGGCGCTTATTCAGGTTTTCTTATCTTTAAAATGGGAAGATGATATTTAATTTGAAGTATTACCTCTAATGAAAATAAATCTAAATGCCAGTTGCTCCTATTTCACATAAGAATGTGTTTGCTTAGGGGCGCCTGGGTGGCTCAGTCGGTTAAGTGCTTGACTTCGGCTCAGGTCATGATCTTGCGGTCCGTGAGTTCGAGCCCCACGTCGGGCACTGTGCTGACAGCTCAGAGCCTGGAGTCTGTTTCGGATTCTGTGTCTCCCTCTCTCTCTGCCCCTCCCCTGCTCATGCTCTGTCTCTCTCTGTCTCAAAAATAAAAAATGTGTATGCTTACAATTAATTGGAGAGATTGTTGGGTTATGTGAAGGTACATCAACTTCCAGATATCTAGATCCCCGCCTTTATTCCCAGGATAAAATGTTTTAAAAACTGCATACTAGTTACTAGGTATGCAGGGTGAGGATACACTGTAACATTTACCATTCTCATTAAAAATTTGAGGGAAAAAAATCCTATTTTAAATGAGAAAATTATATTCTACCTTTGGCTGAAGGGCGATGCTGGAAAAATACATTAAAAATTGTTTTTCTAAAAAAAAAAAGTGAGGAGTGCCTGGGTGACTCAGTTAAGTGTCCGACTTAGGCTCAGGTCATGATCTCGTGGTTTGTGGAACCGAGCCCCACATAGGGCTCTGTGCTGACAGCTCAGAGCCCGGAGCCTGCTTCGGATTCTGTGTTTCCCTCTCTCTCTGACCCTCCCCTGCTTGTGCTCTGTCTCTCAAAAGTAAATTACATTAAAATAAACCCCAAAACTGTTTTTATTCCTTGTATGTCACAGATGTTTTCTTCCTCCAAGCCCTCTCCTACCCTGTCCTCACCCACCCAACCCCAGCACATGTACAGTCTCTTGCTTCTACATCAGCTTAAATACTGTACCAACTCAACAGTCAAGTGCTTACCAAGTGCCCATTAAGAATTATGCTAAATAAAAAGAGTGGAAGAGAGATAGAGATGATGGTTTTGGTTTTAAATTTATTTAAAAAAAAAATGACAACTATTTTGAATGAGGATGTCAACTGTTACAACTTACACTCCTACTTCATGTCTCGCTGTTACTTTTGGTTTTATTCCAGACCTGAGGAGTAGGAAGATTTAGATAGTTGGAGAGTAACTATTTTCTGAGTTACTATGCACTTTTATTCTTCCACATCATAAAATAAGAAAAGTAAGAGAGACAACCCAACGGGGAGCCTGGGTGGCTTAGTCGGTTGAGCGTCCGACTTTCGCTTGGGTCATGATCTCGCGGTTCGTGGGTTCGAGCCCCGTGTTGGGCTCTGTGCTGACTGCCAGCTCAGAGCCT